TGGCTGCTCATTCAGCAGTCTACTTTTAGTGCTCCCACCTTCATTTTGACACCAATCCCTTCAGGTTGCACCGGGCAAGTCATTCCCTGTCCTTGCTGAGGATTCCTCTGGCTGTAAAGTGCAACTGCTGTGAGAGAGTTGTCAGGAGTGATAATTTCCTATTGCGAAAACATTTAAGGATGAGCAAGCAAGGCCAGATTCACGCGAGTCAGAGATTTAAAGATGATCATACCGCAACCACTTTGCAGATCAAACTTTCTTAGTCCCGCAGTAGAAGCTACAAAAACCGAAGGGAATCAGCCTTCCCGAGGTAAGGAAACAAGCACAGCTCAAAGAGCATCAATTTCTTCTAATGAGCCTATCGAGTGTCTGTTCCAATATCTTTATGCTGCTTTGTCTGTCTTTCTGTAAGGACCAAAGCGCTTGAAATTGAGAGCATTTCCTCCTGCAGCAGCGGATACCCAGTCTTTAAAGGTTCTGGAGTTTGTGACGGTGCCAGTGCCACAGGTGTGCTCTTACCCTGACCTCGGGTTGGTGCGAGACCAGCCGGGGCTCATCCAGGAGCCTGCCCCTCTGTGGTTCTTCCCAGTGCCAAGAGCAGATATCCCACAGCTGTGCAAACATGCGATTTTCCAGTTTTCTGGAAAAGTCTAACTGCAACGTAGGTCTTCTCAAAACACATCCAGGTACTTTACTTTCATAAAAACATATTTATTTTTGTAAAAAAAAAATTTTTTTCTTTTAAAAACAAACTGAATACGATGCATCTGTAATGATTCTGTATTTCTAATCTCAGATCTAAGCCTTCTTGAAACCAGTTCTGATTTTTAATTTACTTAAAGGGTTTTTGAATGCAACTCTCTTCATCACGAGAACATACTTAGACTGCTTTTAAACATGGAGGCATTGAATGCATGCCTAAAGATGTTGCACAGCATTTGAATTCCATTTAGCCTCTAGAAATGCTACATTTGCATTTTCTCTGTGTAGCCTTTCGTTTATTGAACCCACGCGCACACTTGGAAGGAATTTTTAAATGCTAACGTCCATTTTGTGTGCATTTAATGTGTGGTAATGGTTGTGTGGAGCCCTGACGATCAATGCTTGTGCCTGTCGGAACCAAACAAAAAGTGCCTTTGTCTATGCTACCCTGGTAATTTACTCTGATAGTTACAGGTTGGCAACTCTGTCTGCACAGACAAGTCTCTGAGCATCTGTGCTGTTGCTGCTCCATGTACTCATGCTGCAAATCCGAGTGTTCAAACTCTTTTCAAACCTTGCTCAGATAGTGTGATGTGTTTGGGTATCAGGTGATGCTGAAATATTAATGGCCCGCTCTGAATTTCCTCTCCTACCTCAGAAGAAAATGGCCAAATGTTCAGGAAAGTCCCTTTAGTTGAGAAGAGAGTAACTGTAGAGGAGGCATTTTACAACAGCAGATCCTCAAAATAAACCAGGATGCGTTTTAGCACGAAGGATCCAGCTGTTGTGACACTGTTACCTACAGGCGCTTTCTCTCACTGCCTGCAGCTGGGAGCGTAACAGCAGGGAAAATGTGATTTCAAGCACTTTAAATCATTACCTGTGGGAAGCAGAGCAGCGGGTTACGAGTGTGATGGAGTTTTGTATGAACTAAATATAATTAGAAATAGCGTGGCTCAGGACGGGCATTACGGTCCTGCAGGATGAGGAGTTTGGCAGGGAGCCTGCTCAGCCAATGCCAAGGCTTCACCACCAGGTAGGAGATTAGATCTGGAGCCTTCCTGGGAGATCTGTGTAATTTTGGCATTTGAGAGCTGGAGAAACTGAGTTTTGGATTGACTACAGTCCCTTTTCTGAAGCGATGAAGCACAAAAAGAAAAGTTACTGAAAAAAGTGGAAAGAAGTGGATTTTTTTTGTTTTGTGTGGCACAACCGCTAGACACACACAGTCAGGCCAAGTTCATCAGATTATCAAAATTTAATCCATTTCTTTCCCTGAGATGGCTGCTGTACTCCTGTACAATTCTGCAACCAACAAGATATATTTCTCTATTATGAGCTGAAAATTACGGTTTTTTTTCTTTCACCAAGTAATTTCAAGTAGGACAGTTTAACATTAAAATGCAGAAACACTTTCTTGGCTCAGAGTGATAGCATTTGAATTAAAAAGGGTAAAGCAGATGCTTATAATGAAGTAGATTAAGATGTAAAATTTCTAATAGTTCTAATCTCCAGTAATAAAACCTGACATAAGGAAAGATTATAATAGTTTATAGGTATTGCAGAGATTATATCTCAGTATGTGTGCAATATTTTTTCCAAATATTTTTTAATTCCTATTTGAGGTAATTGCTCAGACATTGGTGGTTACTAGGGATGCTTAGCCTGTGATTTATGTCCCTGGGTGAGCTCAGGAAACAGCACTGTGATGTGTGCATCTGTGAGGCAGGTTAATATTCCTTAAATGGTCAGTATTTGAGCTTTTTGGTACAGTGGGGAGAGCCAGGAGAACTGCGGGAGGGAAACAAAATCTCGATGAAAAAAATCAGCCAGCCAGTCCAATTACTTTTTGTCACTGAGAGTATTTACTGAAGTTTATAGAGTTTTACAAGTCTGGAATACGGGTACAGATCTGAAATTAAGGAACACAAGTACATTTAAGATTAGAATACCTTTAGATTCACGGCCCCTGGTATAATGTATTTTATAGAAACTAGAAGTAGATGTGCTACACTCTGGTCATATATGTAAGTGATCAACATAATGTTTTGGTTAGAGGAAGCATTACTGGGGCTACTATTATTTGGGGATAATAACAATAATAACTTTGTCACTTGTACTTCTTTTGCCTCTTGGCAGGTAGCCCTGGTAGCGTTGGGAAGGATAACTGGGTCCGTAGCATGATGATACTTGACACCGTAGGCAAACTCGTGGGTAGATGGGGGCTCTGAATCTGACAATCCTCATGCCTGGTGAATAGTAGTTCCCACAGCTTGGGTCCCTTACGCACCTGAAAAAAAAAAGAAGTTAAAAAAACCCAAACCACATATAATTGTTACACAAAAATTGTGACATGGTCACTGAGCCATAATATAAGGGAGTGCTATGAAAATTCCCTTCCCTAACTCATATCAATTGCTCTTTAGAGGATGAAAGTTTGTTAGTTAATATATACCAGTTAACATTATAAACTGTAATGTGATGAAGCAGTGGAATTTTACTGGAGACTCCGTATTGCTCATGCTTAAAACCCACTAAAGCCTGGCCCTGGAAAGAACTTTGCTTTGTGGAAGCTTAGAGCTGTCCACGAAGGAATCCCCTGGACAGCCAAGATAAGACTGGCATCCCAGCCCCTCTGACACATCTGTGAAACCCTCCCAGCATCATCTGGTGTCACAGGCCAGTGACCCCAGCAAGGCTGACTCTGGGGACACCTGGATCAATAGTCAGGCAGCAAGAATGCTGCAGGAAAGGAGTTGTTTTGCTGTGATTAGTAGTCAGCAGTGTGAATGTGAGTGACTATTCAAATCATGTTATACCTGAATGTCTGAAGGGTGTATGAACCCTGTGTAAAAAACACATTTTGGCTGGGATAAATATTTATTCACTTGCCATTTATTTACCTTTGTATTCTTATGCTTTGCATCCCAGGCCTCCTTGGTTGGCACAGGCCAGACAAGTATCTTAGTAACATCACTTGCATGTATTTGGGCAGATAAGAAAGGCCTGGAAAAGAAGAAATTTAGTGTTAATAAACCGTACGTAAGCATAGATGCAGCGTGTATTAAATACTAGTATGCTTTGCAAATGCAAATATGGGCTTTGCTGCTGTACCTGGAAACAGCAGTTGAGAGGGGGAAATTAATTTCTCTTTCTTTGATGCTGTAGCTCGTTACTCCCTTCCACAGCCAGCCCTGAGGTTACACAAGATGGCAACATCCACCTGTTTTTTCGTGGGCAGAGGGTAAGCTTGCCACAATAACAAGCTCTTTCTTTGCCTGGGAGCCCTCCAGAGCACAGGGGCACTGACTGGCCAGCAGCCTGGTGGGCTACAGGTGGATGTTTTCAATGTGTTTTCTCCATAAATGGTGCAGAAGTAGGCGAGATCATCCCCTCGACGCTTTCTGCCAAAGATGGTTCGAGTGCCAGCGGCACGTGGTCCCTGGGTGAGCTGTGGCATCCCCGAGCTCTCTGCCCACTCCCAGCCTCTCCCCCTTGCCTCTTTCTCCTGCGGTCAGGCACCCTCTGCCATTAAACTGCCAGGTTTTCCCAGCTCACATCCCTTACCTGGCATGTACTGCCCTTAGGAAGTCATTGAAAAGAAGAAAGGATGAGAATACCTTACCTGGATTTGTAGGTGCTGGGTTTGTTTTGGGGCGGGCTTTTAATGTGAAAAAAAATAAAACAAGAAAATAAGTAAGATGGCGTGAGAAAAACATGTGCTTTTATGTAATCAGCTGAATAGAGTTGTCATGGACAAAGGGCTTGCATTAAGAAAAGTGTAGGGGCTTAAATACTACAGGTGTAGTACGTATACGTATTACTAGTGGTAATGGGAACAAGATTTAATTTTGTTTATTCCTTTGTGAAGGCAGATAGTCTCATGCTCAAATGCATGCTCTGCATCTGGAATTGAGTTTCCTGTATGTTGTCAAAACAAGTACATATGTTTTACTGAGGCAGCTGAGTGCCCTTTACCAATGTGTAGTTGATAGGGCCAGACTTTAAAAAGAAAACTTTAGTCTGATATCTAAGCATCTGAGGCAGAGCATTTTCAATTAATGAGCAGAACTTGCAATTCAAGTTTTTTGAAAGATAAATCTCACCGTAGAAAACTGAGGTTCAATGCAAATATCTCTGAGTATCTCAGAGGATTCCCACTGACTCAGATTCAGTGAGAATGCAATTTTAGAAGTGCAGGAAGCATGACTCTAGAGCAAATCTGAATTTATATTGGTGTATGCCCCAGAGATTTCCCCTTCCCTAGTGCTTTCATAAGTACAGGTATTTCTCCTGTATCAATACCAACAGCATTCTTCATCCCTTGATTTGTATGGAAGCCAAAGGAATTATCCCCAAAGTTAAATACTGGATCCATGAAATTATGTCCCTGGAGACTGGAAGCCATGCCAAGACATCTCCAGATCATGACTGACAGAGAACTAAGCATATAAACCAGAGTAATGCTTCATTACGTACCAGTGGTAACGGCTCCTGTCTCAGGAGTTGGAGAGACTGATGAAATGGATGGATTTGTTACTGTGAGAAGAGAAAATATGAAATCAGACATTGTTACAAATACATTGATGACTCACATGAAAACTGGTAAAATGCTCATCACTGTTCAAAAAATGACCAGAAATAAATACCTGGATTTTCAGATGTCGTGGACTCGGTTGGAACTGTCAAATATAAAGTAAAAACCATGCTTCAGAAACTGTTCTATTATTGTGTGAGTAAAGCAAGGACTGTTAACAGGGAGGGAGTCATTAGTTTATTTACCCCCAGGATCGAGCATTAGACCAGTTCTGCTAAAGCTGAAGTCATATGTACCTGCTGCTTCAGATGTTGTGTTTCCTGCAGGGGCTGATCCGAGACATGAGAGAAAACAAAAACCACAGGTTAGCCCTTGTCCCAGCACTGGAAAGGCATGAGGGGCCCAAACCACAGGAGACCCCTGGGTCTCATTCGAGTGGCAGTCAGCCACTGCGTCTGGGAGGTGCTGCCGCTGCCCAGAGCTAAAGGAGAGGCAATTGGGGTTATCCCTGAAGCTAGCAGTTTAAATCTGTGAGATTAAACACACAGTAGTGACAGGGAGCCACTCAATATGTGATCAAAACTTGGGCAGACAGCTAAGTGTGTAAGCCAGAGTAACACTGTATTACTTACGAGTGGTAACATCTGGTTCAGAAGTTGGAGAGACTGTTGCTGTGAGAAAGGAAAGATCAAATTAAATATTGTCTGCATCTCAAGTGTATATTTTTCCTCCAAGACTTACAGCAGCAGTCTTGGCTGCTTGCAAGATCACATGAAGCTCTGTGAGTAACTTGTTTGTAGGGTGGAACGTAGCCCGAGTATCACCGCGTACGACTCTGAATGCACAGGCTGCAGTGACGCAGCTGGTGGTGTGCATCTTCCCCAGAACACTCTATGGCGAGGCCCTGAGCTTCCCAGGGGAGGCAAATAATGCAGCTGGACAGGGCACTGGCTCTGTTGCCTTGCTGGGGGAGCAGGTAGTCTGCTAAATCCTGAACTGAGATGGAAAATGTGAGTGCCTGGCAGTTAATTCCTCAATGCAGGAGCGCTGTGTGAGATGGGGATCCTGCTGTCCTGCATGGTCTGACAGCACCTCTGCTCACCACGGTTTAATGAGTGACCAGAAATAAATACCTGGTGTTTCAGTTGTCGTGGCCTCAATCAGGACTGTCAAAGAGAAAATGAAAGCCATGATTTAGTAGTTTTTCCAATTCTGAGCGAGCTAAGTACAGATTGACAAAGCAAAGCAACGTTATCATTTAAGTGTAATTGGGCCTGGTATAATGAGATCCCCGATCCAGCTAATTTAGAGCACTTTACACCATAATTTGGCATTTGTGTAAACCAGCTTGTGATATTTCCACCACCCGCAAGGGTGGATGGGAAACCATGTGTGTGGTTGCTTGTATCTCCACAGAGGCAGAAGAGCTGAGTGCGGCAGGACACTCCTGTCCCCAGATGCCACCAAGAATCACAGAATTGTTGAGGCTGGAAAAGACCTCTGAATCCATGTTCGCCTGATTACCTTCAATTCTTCAGGGCAAATAATAAGGTAAGGGCGCTCTCACCTCCAAGAGACCAAGAATTTCAGCTGAGTGCTGCTACAGCCCAGGGCAATCAACACTTTGCTGGAGGGTAACTTGTATTTCACTAAACCTGAGATAGATAAACACTGAAGTGCTCCATACCTGTTGTTTCAGGTGTGGTAAGCTCCAGGGGGGCTGTTGAGAGAGGAAACAAAAAACATCAAAAGAAGGAAAGCCAGATCAATATCTTCAGTTATAAGGTGAGACAAACAGAAGTACAGTCAGGGTTCTCCCCAAAACTGTGGCTGAGGTGATGTTTCCCAAAGCCTTGGAGAAGGCTACAGAGGTTTATGCCATGTTATTGGTGTTTCTACCATGATATTTTCACCCCATGCAAAAGCGGATCAAGTGGGTATGGGTATAATTTCTGTCCTGCCTCTCTACCCAGGCTGAAATCCAATCTGAATTGCTTTTTGCAGTTAAGTAGCTCCACCACTGCAAGGTCTGCCAGAGCCTGGAAGATGAGCTGTCTGGAACTCCTTTATAAATTAAAAAATTTAAAAAATTATGTGCAGCTTGGAAAGGTTAGTTGGTAAACAGACATCCTCTTCTGTAAATTACTAAAATATTTAAGCAGGCATGGCTCGTGATGCAATACAGCCTCTTGGTACAGTGGACTGAGAAGAACTGAGTGAGTTAGGAATGCAGGCTGATCATCTCAACCTGAAATTCTTCGCCTGGGGCTTGCAGCTCATGTACAGCGCATCAAAGATTCATTGCAATTGTTTCTCAAATATCGGTTGTAATTATCTGTCAGTAACCATCAGCTTAAGAGCAGTGCATGATACCAGAAAAATGGGTGAGGAGAAGAAATAACAAGAATAAAACCAAGATGAAAATATGGTCCTCTTCAGAGGGGTAGTAGAAACCTTACTCAGTTCTTCAGGAATATGTAATTCTCATGGCTACTTTTATTCTTTATATCATTATAACAGCGCAGCGCAAGTATCACTTCCATATGGGATCTCACTTTCTCTTGAACAGAAACAGCTGAGACCACAAAGATGCAGTGGCCTGCCAGCCTACACTGATGTCTAGGATCAGACACACCACAGTCATCTAGGGCCAGAACCTCCATCAAATTTTTCGCTTCTGCATCCTCAGCTGTCAGGAATTTTCTTCATTTTCCTCAGTAAATTTCTAATAGGTATGATGCAGATCTTTGAAAATGAGTGCAAATTCATAAAGAGAAGAAAATATGTTTATAAAATTGACAGGAGTACTTTGAAGCTCTTAGGCAAGTAGTCTTTGTCACAACAGCAGATTCCAGGTTGGTCTGCCAAAACCTACTGGATCCCCTCTGGAAGAAAATGTCTATAGCACAGCTCTTCCTCTCTTCTTCCCCCAGACCCAGATACTGGAATCCCTTGTGGGAAGGATGAGATGGCCCCAGGATCTATGGTCCCTGTGGGTGCTGGTCCCACCTGTGACCAGGTGCTCCTGGCCATCCTTGGGTCTCGTCGGCCTCCCCTCTCCCTGCATGGCCACTGCCAACGGTCCGTGTTCCCACAGTGGCTCCAGCATTGTGCCTCTTAATTCATGTTGAATAAGACAGAAAACATGAGTACCTCCACAGATAACACCAGCATCTTCCTTGTGGTAGCAGTTATGTGTGCCCAGCCCTCTGTGGGAGCACTGCTCCAGGGACGACTCATTCCCTCTGCACTCCACGTCGTCCAGGAGAATATCTCCTGTGCCTTCCCCAAAAAAGGCGTCGGTTTTGGCTGAGATAGCGTCTCCGCAGCCCAGATGCCTGCACACAACTGCAGCATCCTTCATGTTCCAGCCATCGTCACAGACGGTTGCCCAGCTCCCTCCGTGAAAGATTTCAAGGCGCCCAGAGCACCGGTCCTCTCCGTTCACCAGCCTAAGGGACATGTCTCAAAAAAGCGGGTGGAAGCGCACGATCACTCGGCAGCCTTAGAAAGAGGCTTTCCAGGTGCATTTATCAAATAGCAAAAGGCAGCTTTGTTGTGTCACACAGAAAGTGGCAAAATTATGAAAGTAATCTTATTGTAACAAGCCTTATTGTGTAGGTTCATCATCATAAATCCTTATTCTCGTAGTGTGCCATATACACCGGCAAGAAAACATTAAGATTTGGTTTCTGTTTCAGGCTCTGGTGTGTATGTCCATAGCTAACATAACCATTCCTATTGATATCAGTGTTCTTTAACAGCAAAACTCCTAGAGAAACCTGAGGTACCTCAGAAACTTATCTTACGCACATTTACTTGCTTTGAAAATCTGAACTGTTAATTTTTTTTCTTCCTAGCACTGCTTAAGTCACTGTGTAAAATATATCAGCTGTGAAAGCTTTGCAGACCCATCTAGGGAGAACTCACCAGCTGGAACAGGCTCCGTTGTGGCTGGGGGAGTAACTGGCTCTAGGAGAGGAAACAGAAAAGTGAATTTCAAGTTCTACAACAGAGGATGCTTAATATCATTCTTCAGTTACTGTGTGGGAAAAAGAAGAAAGCAGTAGTGATATAGAGCCACCCATTCATCTCTCAAAGCATCAGCACCCAAAGGGAGCAGGCTGCAACCCCTTTTTTAAATTTCAGGTGTTAACGGGTCATCCTGCAGGTGTAATCTTTGTTTTCTGTGTAGGACATACTCACCAGAGACACACGTCTGCGTGGGTTGCGTGTTTAACTCCACTTGAGGTCTTCACAAAAACCCCCACCCTAATTCTGTTAAAAACTTGCTTTGATTTTCCTCAGGGAAAGTTATGCCCAGGATAAGCCGTAAACAAGTGTCCTTTCAGCCAGTTACATTTTGGTCATTTCAGGCTCATAGAATGCCTGTCACATGAATGATATTTGTCCGTGGACCTCCACTTGTCATGGCACTGGTCACCGTGACACGGGGTCTCCAACTGCACGTGTTTCCAGTTAGAATACAGAACTGCTGGGAAACTGGGAATTGATTTCGAAAAATCGTAAAGGAAGTTGCTAAAATTAATTTCCTACTAAATACAAGAAAAAGCAACTGGATTTACTAGCCATGGTTCATAATTTATAGGAAATCAGGACTAGGAAGATTGAAATATAATAATGGTGATGTAAAATTATGATTCAAATAGTAGCATGTAAAGGAGTCGGGTAGTAGATTAGGAAATGGCATCATATGAGATTGACAATGACATGGCAGGTAGCCAAAGGTTTTGAGAATTACAACAAAAGTTTAAAACACAAACCTGTGTGAATAAACCGCATGAGTTAGCAAAAAGAAAAAATGTGGTAGAACTCAGCAATTCTCATAGGCCTGAAACAATTCCGCTGATGGAAACAAGCGGCAGGGAAGCCTGCACTGCTCATGAAGCAGTAGTTTGTGAGAGATGTGTTGGCGTACCTGCGCAAACAACGCTGGCGTCCTCTTTGTGATGGCAGTTATGGACAGCGATCCCTCTGTGGGAGCAGTCCCACAGGTTGTCTTCATCCCCTTGGCACTGCACGTCATCGAGGAGGATGTCCCCAGAGCCTAGGCCAAACTGAGCTTCGGGCAGAGCTAGCAGAGCTTCTCCACACCCCAGCCTCCTGCAGACCACCTCAGCCTCTGCCAGCCCCCAGCCGTCGTCGCAGACCGTTCCCCAGCTGCCGTTGTGATAGAGCTCGACGCGGCCTGAGCACTTCCCGTTGCCGTCTGCCAGCCGCAGGGATGGAGCAGAGCTGTCTGCCAAGGAGAAAGGCCTTGTGTCGTGGGAGTTTATCCAAGGAGGTGGCACAGCTTGGCCAAGTACCACCCCGGTGAAGACAGGAGCAGGTAGCCCGCAATGTAGTCTGTGCTGACAAAGAGTCCTCCCCTGAATTTTGGTTGCTGTAGGGAATTATAAATGCTTGAACCCATCCGAACGGGCATGAGCATAGTCCTCTTCCACAATGTGTTGATGTCTGGGAGAAATAGTTCTCACCTGTTCAGCCAGCTGATCCACTTTGGGCATCAAGGGGAAGGTTTCCTACCTTCTCTTTATCACCATTTTCATCTATGCTGTAGTGCTGTCTAAAGGATGAACACAAATACCCAGAGGCAACCTTTTCCTGGGATACTTTGCAATCTAAGGGACATGTTTTTTCCACACCTTCCTTTAAATAATGCCTGGTTCAGTTTCTTTTCCCATCCTTGCTAACTCTCTGGCATAACAGATGGTTGGCACAGCATCATTTCCTCAGAATAATAGCAGAGCTGTTTGTACAGGCTGGGCTCATTTCTGCGAGCTGAGTACTTACTGAATGCTCCACACATTTATCTCACTTTCAGAGGGAAAGGCTTTTACAGATCTGAAGTTCCAAATTGGTTTTATGGGCCTAGAGTGTATTTTTCTTTCAGAGAATGAAACCAGAGACACCGCCAACAAAGTAATTGAATTCCTCCTAATTTGTGGCCATCATAAAGTGTACGAAGTATACACACCTGTCTAACTCCTTGGTGGGTCAGTAGTTATGAGGTTTTCATTTTGGGACATTTTGCTGTCAGCTGGCAGCTATTTGTAACCGGCTAATACACATCCATTCAGAATGAAGCCCATGTTTCCTAGGACTCTCTTTCTCCTTAATTCCTTTTTGCTGACCATGATCAAAGCTCTTTCCATCTGAGCACCATGCTTATCATCTGCTTCTGCAAAAGTTGGCTATGAAGAAATGCCAGCAGCAATGTGCTCGGCTCACTCCCTAAGATCTAGGTCTAAACTTCTACAAGACTGCCCAGTATGATTTCAGGGAGAACAAAAGAGAATTGAGACCTGTTGATCCAGGCATTGAGTATTCACTAGCAATGGTGGGAAGAAATAAAAAGTTTGAGAGCTGGAGTACAGTAGCAATCTAAATCCAGGTGGGAATAGTGAGGAAGAGGCAGATTAAAAATTCTATATGCAGATCCATGTCTTAGTTTAAATTACAGGCAAAAATAAGTCTGTTGTGATCCAGCTGATATTTAAAATGGCTTTACTGGGAGGGAGACATCTTTCCTATTAAGGTTTCTAAGTAAATGAAGTATTTCATTAATCTGAAATATGAACATCAATCCAAAATTTTTGGGGGGTGCTTTTTAAGAAAATAAAGGACTGACTAAATAACGGTGCCAAGAATCTTCCATGTAGTCTTGTGGGGGTGTCTACAGACAACAGGCAACATTTTACTTTCAGCAAATTAATAAAAGCAAATAATCTATATTTGTATCTCTTCAAAGTCAATGTTTCGTACTTAGTTAAGAGTAGAATTTAATCAGAGGAATCAGTGAGCACTTAGTTTTCCTGACACTCTGTCACTAACAGTTTACCTGCAGTATGTACAAATGAAAGTAATGAGGTTATTAGTTAGAGCTATAGAGGAGCCTTCTTTTCCCTTCAGCCATTGAGCAACATCCCTGTTAGACACAGCATACAAGAATAAGGTGAAATTGTTTGCTCAAATACTTGGTTGAATAGATACAGGCAAAGCACTGAACAGCTGCAAGCATGTAGTTCCATAGTAGTTCTTAAGAAGCTGTATATGCACCATATATTAGGTACCTTAAGGCTGAATAACAGTCAACAGATTACCCATTTATGAAATTTATCCTCAAATTCTGAAAGCCAAGCAAATAAAAGTAAATCTCAAGGGACCACATTAATTTCTTATTTTAACTGGTGTGTGCAAAGAAGGGCAAACTTCTTTCATCCAGCTGTAACAGCGAAGTAAGGCAAGGAGCAAAATCTGGTCAAAGCTCTGTAAAATATTCTTCAGAGTAGGCAAGTTTTAATTTCTATCCTTTGGAAAGGGAAATGACTAGCAGGAAAAAAAACCAGTGACTGGAATTTCTTCGCTGTGCTGAAGATTTATCTATTAATTTCTAAGGCAACATTTGTGGATAGATCTTGAGCACGAAAATATTGTTTGAAATTAGGTTAACAGGTGGAACAGTAAGGAAATCTCTATGAAACTTTCTAGTGCTGCTGCCTCTGGTGTTGAGTCACAGCTCTGAACTTCCAACCTCACAGATAAGGCTGTGCAAGACAAACTATGTTAAAAGAAGGTTGTAAAAAGAGGGATTATCAATTGCCCTTGTAATTGTTTATCATGTTATGAAGTAACTTGGGCTAACAGATGGTGTGGGTGTTAGCCAGCCAGTCACAGTTACTGGAGCACAATGAGATCCTCAGTCCTTACCGCTGAAACTGGAACAGCACAGCGTGGCAGAAGGAAAGACACAATCTCTGTGCTCTCTGGAGGACACAGTGAGAGTTTGGAATGATCTTCATAAACTGGATAAATGTGAAAAGTCAGCAAGATGAAATTCAGTTAAGGCGGGCGGAATGGGCTGCTCATCAGAAAGAGAAAACCAATGCACAAAGGCAAAATCATCCTTACAGCTGGCACAGAATGACCACAGAAAAACTAAAAGTTGGTCCTGTTAACACTACAGTGAGCCAGTCCAGTCTCATTCTTGCTATCAATTTCTACTTCATCAGAAGAGGAGGTAGAACAGCATGTGGAGGATAGGAAGGTCTCAGCTCAGGTCTCAACTGATGGCTGATGCGAAATGGCCCCATCTGGGTGAAATTCTGAATTTAAGATACTTCAATACCAAAGAAATTGTTTCATAGATCAGTTAAACTGGCTCATTAAAAACTTGCTTAATGTATTACAGAAGAGATGCCAGAATAAGAGCTGCCTCAACAAAGAGAATGGAAAAAGCCTGGGACAAATACAAACACGTTGCAGCACAACCAGCGTTGAAGAAGGGCTGAACCCAAGCTCTGTATTAAAAATCTTCCACTCCCCGAATGGAGACCACTAAAGGTGCCGAGGAGGAATATGTGAATGGAACAAGTATACGAGGAGTGCCCAGGGTTGTCTCCGAGACACCTGTGTGCAGCTCAGAGACTTTCTGAGCCCAAATGCTGCTTTGTGTGGTGATGCAGGACAGAGGCAATTTTTCTCCTAATGAAACATCCTGGGATGGATCAAGAGAAGCGTGGTCAGCAGGTCAATAGAGGGGATTCTACCCCTTTTCTCTGCTCTTGTGAGACCCCACCTTGAATACTGCGTCCAGTTCTAGTGCCCCCACCATAAGAGGGATGTGGATCTGTTGGAGTGTGTTCAGAGGAGGGACACAAAGAGGATCCAGGGGCTGGAGCAGCTCTGCTACGAGGACAGGCTGCGGGAGCTGGGATTGTTCAGTCTTGAAAAGAGAAGACTCCTGGGGCACCTAATAGCTGCCTTCCAGTACCTGAAGGGAACCTACAGGGAGGCTGGGGAGGGACTTTTTACAAGTGTCCACTGATAGGACAAGGGGAAATGGGTTTAAGTTGAAGGAGAATAGATTTAGATTGGATCTGAGGAAGAAATTCTCCAGTACGAGGGTGGCAAGACTTTGGAATAAATTGCCCAGAGATGTTGTGGCTGGCCCCTCCCTGGAGGTGTTCAAGGCCAGGTTGGACGGAGCCTTGAGTAGCCTGATCTGGTTGAGAGGCGTCCCTGCCCATGACAGGGAGGTTGGACTGGATGATCTCTCAGGTCCCTTCCAGCCTAGGCCATTCTGTGATTCTGTGATTCTGCGAATACAAGGCCCAGAGGTTGCACCTGGCTATTCCTTACCGTCACTCAGCGCAGAGGGCGGTGCTGGAGTTGTCGATGCCTTCATAACATCTGTGATAAGGGCAAATGTGAGCCAGTCGTCTGTTTCTGTGACAGAAAGATCTGTTGAAGCTTTGAGGAAAAAAAAAAGGCAATAGCAACAATGAACAATAATGGCCAAACATGAATATAAACTGGAATTAGATTTTTAGTTAAAACGATCTGGCTTTGTCATTTTGCTGGAAAAGAGTGAAAATACAGGAAGTTTTGCTTCAGAGAATAAATACAGCTTTATCCCTTGTACTTCTATCTCAGCCTCTATCATAATACCGTAATAAATAAATATTTAAATTTTGGATTTTTAAGCTTCTTAGCTACTGGAGAATGAAGCAATATGTTCTTATCCCTCTCTGTTAAAACTTTTTTGCCTATATTTTCCGTACAGTATGGCTTTCCCTGAGCTCACTAAGACTCCAGATTGCCTTTGCAACTATAATTCTGTCTTTGTAAGCTGTCCTTAGGGTTCCTGGTGTAAATACTGCCTCAGTCTCTTCATTTACTGAAGTAGATGCAAAGGAAGAATACAGGGGTGCCAAAAGGACTGCGAAAGAGTTGAGGAAATACATTACTGGAGAAAAACATCAATCAGTGACAGAAACTGGAGCTGGATGATTGCTGATATGATTGTGATTATGTGTTCGAAGGAAAAAGCAATTGGATTATAGCTCTTAAAATCTGGTAATCTGAGTCAAAACTTCAAGTAATTATTCAGGCAAGGTGATATTTTGGTCATATTGACCATAAGGGCCTGAGCAGCAGAGCTGGTGGCTCAGGCAGCAGGCATTCAGGTGAATTTTCTGGTGATATTCTCACTAGGCAGCTCCACAAAACCATGCCACCATCATGAATGGTCAGAAAGTCCCACAGGGACAAGTGGCAAAGTGCAACAAAGCAGGTTCTGTACCGTGTAAAGTGGTAGTATCTCCATCTTTAAGATGGGGAAGGAATTATCAAAGATTATTGACTCTTTAAAATGTCCCAGCCTGGTTTAGTCATAGATGTTCTCCACTTTTCGTATAAAAGTAATGGTATTTGGACACTTTTGTGGATACCTGAAGTTTGCGCAAGCAGCTTAAAGTTCCAAATTGTTCATAATTACGTATGTCCCAAACTTTGACAGCCCAATGTTTTAGAAATGACAGGTTCGGAAGCTGGATTCTTTCTTCACTGAGACGATTAATTAGCAATTGACTGATCTTAAATTTCATGCAGTGATTGTAAACATAGAATCCTTTAGGCTGGAAAAGACCTTTACGATCCTGCCAATGTAATCTATTTTAAACACATTTGAACATTATTATTATTAAATTTTATGGCATAGGGTCTGTACCTACCTTCAGTAACGGTGGAAAAGACTTCTGGAGCTGCGGTATCATTCTCTCCTGTAAGTGGGGTGGGTGAAACGTGTGATTCTTCAGTATTTTCAGAGCCTGTAAGAAGAAGAAAGAACCATGGAAATGAGAGGAAAAGAGCCTTCAGGTAAGGCTGAACTACTGTGATCAGATCTTAATGAACTGAATTGTCTTCAGGCTTTCTGGAAAAAGGAGTCTGTGTATTAGTTATCTTCCACATCCACGGACACGGCTCAGAAGTAGATCTTCATTTTAATGTTTTGCATTATAAGCATCAAAAAAGTTTCAGACTTCTTTCACTGAGAGCGAGAAAAGCAAAAGGAATGTGAGAAGCAAAACCAGACATTAATGTTTTAACCTTGGCAGTAACATTTATTGGTATATGGTTTCCCAATGCTGTAACAGGGCATGTTTTTTCAACTTTATTAAGAAGTTCAAGAGGTAAATTAACACAGGGCACTCTGGTTCTGCAGAGGGAAACGTTTATTACACCTATCCCCGGCTTACCCAACTGAAAATCTTTCTCCCAGCGGTACAGGAGTCATTGGAGAAAGGAGGGTGAGACCATCAGGACTGGCACTGAAATGCAGCATCTGTTTTCCCTGCAATTCTCTGCCAGATCGCCTTGCCCTTTGGAGCATCGCTGTTAGCAGGTGGGAGTCGTGCCAAAGAGGGGAGGGAGGCTGGAGAGAGAGCCAGCTCTCTGCTCCCCAGCTCGCTGGGCTGAGCCTGCAACAGCCCGGACCACGGGTTCTCAGCTGAGTCTGAGCTGAGAAATCCTCAATGGGGAGAAGAGGACCTGCTGTTCATCCTGGATTGGCTTGATGAGAAAGCCCAGGCCTGGAGGTTTAATGTTTCTGGAGTTTTTATGAATCTCGGTCACACAAAATCACAATGATGTGGGCACTTTTGCTTTACAAAATTTTAAGTGTAGTGTTTACAGCTAAAAGCTCAAAGGTGTTACTCATTAAATGCACATATTCCTGACACATCCTGACAGCCCGGTATTTTTCAAGTGAAGATATTGTAAGAGGGTTGTTCCTTTATGGAGACGTTTAATTTGTAGTTGTCTGTTACGAATACTTTACAGATTTAAATGATCACATCTTAATCCATCTGAAAAACTCAGTTTAACAGAATCTTTGTTTTAGATAACACTTGAATATGGCTGTTCTTACCTTTACAGACTGTGGTTGGGATTTTGGGAGTTGTAAAAATTTCCTCTATGGCAACAGTGGATGCCAAAGACGTAACTGAGGCCAAGGAAAGTACAAAGAAGAGGAGACATTGACAGCAATTAGCACTGAACATGTAAACTGAAATCTTGATGAAAGTAAGAAGATTTGGGCTTTGCAAGGCAGTGAGTCAATGCACAGCCCTTTATTTCTGCTGAAAGAAAAAGATTTTCACCCTCATTTAATATTAATAAAAAGGACAGGAGATATTTCTGACTGCCAGAGATGCAATAGTCATTTGGTGGAGATGAAAAATGGCCATAATCAGGGGAAATAAAGAATAAGATTTGTTTTGCGCTGCAGAAGTGTCTCTGAACTCACAAGTGAACCTCACCTTCCTCAGTGGTTGTGAAGGTCCCTGGAGTAGAGGGTGTCTCTGTGCTTGAGCTGGAGGCAGAGGAGGAATCTGCAGAGGTGACCAGGGGGTGAGGAAATAGATTACTAAATAGAAACAGCATGACACAAAAGAAAAGACATTTCAAGGATCTGAGAAACCATTAATATTTCAGGCTTCATGGGGAAAAAAAATAATCAGTTCCCTGGAGTTTAACTTTTGGAGATGTAGCTCCTCTTCCAAGTAGTAATTATAAGTGAACCTGGGAGAGTGATGCAACCAGTGCACCTCTCATTTCCCCTCTACCTTTGCATTAACTTAAGAACCGGGAAAAACTAAGCAAGATTATTAAAAGAAATGAAGGGGAAGAAAATATCCAGGTGATAGTGCCTCAGATGAACTGATTGTAAAGGTCTCACCATACATACATGCAGTCTTGATAATCATATATGCAGATTTTTTATTGTGCAGTTCTTCTAGCTACACAGCCTTTGACTTTGGTTATATTTATGACAAGAGTATTAATTTTTATTTTCAATTCAGACTTTCCTGGATCACTTCCATCTCCTCTTAATTGGTTGCTTTTCTTATTTTGGGAACAGCCTGTAATCAGATGTTGCCTAAAATGGTCCTGAACTACCTTCTTTTCACCATTTTCACACTCAATGCTTGCTGTTACTAATCTTGGTGTTTTGTTCAGGTCACCCCTTTGTTCCTGGGTCACGCAGACCAGCCTAAACACAAGGAGCATCCACACACACATATCAGCTCTACCCTAATTTCCAAGCTCTGCTCTGATGTTTCTTGCATTTATGGTCAAAAGGAAAATCCAAAGAGACTTTTGAGAGCACATAATATATTTTTTTTCACCTGAACAGATGACGCTGACATCCTCCTGGTGTCCACAGTCATGTTTGCTCCAGCCGGCGTGCTGACAGTCCCAAAGGTAAGACTCAGTTCCCCTGCACTGCACGTGATCCAGGTGGATGTCTCCTGTGCCAGGGCCAAAGTAAGACTGTCCCAAGACAGAGACGACTTGACCACAACCAAGCTGTTTGCATACAACGCTGCCGCTGTTCATGGTGAATTGATGTTCACAGACTGTTCCCCATTCGCCTTTATAGTAAACTTCAACTCTCCCAGCGCATCGGTCCTCTCCAGATGCCAGTCGCAGTTGGGGTTTTTCTGAAAGCAAAGCAAAACCTGACAGGTAAACATCACAATTTGTTTACTACCAGGATATCTAAACTTTTTACGTCTAAGCTCGCATCCCAGCCTGCACAGGGACGGGCTGCCCAGTGATTCTGTGTTCCCAGTACCTGGGACTTACTGGGGAGTGCCTGCGATGTGCAGAGCAATCCAGGATGGGGAGCTGAAAGCAGATGCCAGCTCAGTGGGGTTAATTCAGCCCGGTTCACGTGGCTCTGCTGCCTACAGCACCTCGTCTGTCATGGCAGGGTACCTTTGGCAGCGCTGGGGAGAAAATCAGCTCACCCAGAGCTGGCTCATGTAACTCTGCAGGTGTGCCTGGTATGTCCACACTCAGGAGCATGTCTCACACTCTCACCTTTGGGTTTAAATTTGTCTTTTAGCCAGTCTGAAAATTTATTCCATAGCGAGGTTTGTTCTCCATTTCCTGAGCCTCCCGGTGAGTTCCACCACGTACCGCTTGCTGTGGCAGATAAGAAAACATATTAGCACCGTTGTAACATCACAATTCTAGGTATATTTTATGTTTTGAGGGATCTGACCCTAGAAATCCTTATGTATGTCCTTCACATCCAGTGAGGACATGGGCTTATGGGAGCTGAGCTCTGCCCAGTTTCACTGGGACAGTAGAAAGGCTTACTTACCTTGGCCGTAACAATTACCACAAGAGCAGGGGAGGCTGTGCACCATTTGTCTGTGCCGACCATGACAGTTGTTTTGCTTGACAGCCCAGCACGTTACCTTAAATCTTTGCAAACGCCAGCTCAGGTCTGCACTATTATTATTATATATTAATAATAATAATAATAATTATCATCATCATCATCCCAACTTTGTCTAATTCTGCAGTATACTGTATACTGCTTAAGGTTTTTTAAAAATGTACATTTGATTAAACCAGACCATGACATCATGGTTCAGATACCAGGGGATGAAATGGTCTAGGGTACAGACCTGTGGTCTGATTGTGTGGTTTTTTCATCTGTAGTTTTAATCACACAAATACCTTTGAAAATCTACTTATAATCACTGAAAGGGAAAAGGACTTAGGCTGCCAGGGGTCAAAGCAATGTTCTAAAATGGCAGCTTTCTGAATTAGGATGCTCTGGAGAGCAGTGCCTGATAAAATCACTAAAAATCAGGAGAAAATTAATTTGAAAATTTTTTAATTATTTTTTTCAAGTTGGCCTTTGATCTTCAGATGCTTGCTTTCATAGATTTTTACTTTAGTAACACTAAATTCATGGGTTTACAAGGCAAGATCCTAAGTGATTTTGCCAGTCAAGGTTAATCCAGTTTACATTAAGTCAAATCAAAGGCAAAAGTGAGCCTATGGAATAAGGAAAAAGATTATAGCATTGCTAAAGTGCTGGGATTTGACCACCTTCTTGAAATACAACTTCGTCCTCTTTGATGCTGAACTTCCCTCTGGGCTGTCTTTACTCTTGTCTTATAAATAATTCAATATAGTCAACCCCTTAATCTATACTCTGCGAAATTATCTCTTTTTGTAAGGGATTGACAAGGCTTTATTCATGGTGTCCACACTAATAGTTAAAGATCAAAGTATCTCATTCGATCTAGCAAGGCGATGAGGAAGGTTTGGGGTTATTGCTGTTTGAAGTTTGAAGGAACATGGCAGTGCAGTAACATATATTCCCACCTGGGTCTGGCAGGCTGCTCTGTGTTTCTTTTTCTCCCCTCCTCTACATTTTTAAATGTGCAGTATAGAAGAATTTAAATTTAAACTAGAATATTGGAAGAAGAACGTTTAGAGAGTAACTTCCCCTAACTGTTACCCTTACAGAAGAGAAATGAAGAAAACGCTCTTCAGCCTTCTCCAGTCTAAAACCTTCATATGGATTTGATCTGAATCTTTGAATTAGAAGACAAATTAAAACGTTGATTCTATGGCACAAAGCTTATCAGCAATATCCTAGGAGACCCCTTGCCACCACTTCCCAGCGAACCAGTCTGTATTAGTAACTAATTCTGCCTGCAACATTTCTCTGCAAGCATGAAGAAAACTTAGACACGTTACCTGGCTCAGACAGAAGAGCAGCACTTAACAGCAGCAACCACGTGAGACTCACTTGAAGGTCCATTTTCATTGTGGTTCTCTGTACTACCCCAATGCAGCTTCAGAATTTATACTAAATGACTTTTGGTCTCCACCAAAGGCGTGTGCAATGCAATCTGATCTTTCTTCCTGAACTTCCAGATCAATGCCAAGAAAGTGATTTACTGAGTATTTTCATTTCACAGGGTACATCCAGACATCCGGATAAAGAGATCCAGATCACAACGCTGTTCCGGACTGCCGACCCAGATCTTCCCAAACACTCCCTGGGCACCTTCGTGGCCGTGTGTTGATGATGTGGTTGTTCCAGGAAGCAGTGATTTACTTTGGGATATTCGGCTGTTTGGTGAGGATTCTCATACCACCAGTTAAGTCACTTTCCAACTCACAACCACACTAAACCAGATTAAATTGGTGTGAGAGTTGTGCCAAAGGAAGATTAACATCCTAGAAATGTCAAGGAAGTCTCATTCAAATTCTCTCTATCTGCTACAGATCGCTCCTGTAAGAAGAAGTTTCCACACTTTTTCTCTGACTCTTCTTTAACCTGGGACTAGATCCCTCCAGCATGTGCCACATCTGCAGTTATCTTTCACTTGCAGCCCACAGAGCAGTAAAACAGCTCTAGGAGATACTGGTCAAGGTATGGTTGGGTAAGAAGAACTGTTTTGGAGGTAAACACATGGGGCTAAACTACAACAGCCAAGGAAATAGAGCAAGCTAGGGCCAGAGGGTGTTAAATTAAGCTAAAACTGTGCAAGTCAAGGAATCTATATGTAAAAACAGAGGGAGATGACAGCTGGTCTTCTGGGGAAGATCAGTATAGGCTGAAGTCGTGGGGCCCTGTACCGATTTGCTGTAACCCCCAAGAAAATGGAGAACACCAGTGGAGGGAAAATCCAAATGATTGTTATGAGCCATGAGGTTGCTGAAGGGAATTAATCACCTTCCTTACTTTACAATAACCATAATTGCTGGACACAACAAAGACTCCACAGATGATTGATGCCCCACTCTCCATCTGCCGGTTTCACAGCTGGTGAAATTTCTGATCAAATTAGATAGATATTTTCCTGTTATCTTCAAAGGACAAGCAGACACATTACTCACAGTCCTGTGTGTTACATCTCTCACACACGTAGGCTGCACAGAGCTTCAGGAAGTGGAGCCTTTATTAAGACCTATGAGGCCATTTTTTTTGTGAGATATTACACAAACTAATCGAGGCACAACATCTTTTTCAGGTGAAGGGGAGAAACTAGAAACAGGTTTTTATTCTATTGACAAGAGATATGCAATCACAGGATGAGAGGCAGAAGGTATTGTAGTGCCAGGATAAATGTAAATTAATAAAAGACTAGGAGAAACCATGAAAAAAGTCTTTACGAAGGGGATATATACAACAGGTCATGCTAGAGATTAACCTTTACCATTTGTTTTCATGGTATGTTTTCATGAAGAAAGGGAATCCCACCTAGAAAGGGAACCTTATACAGCTGGAAAAGACTAGCAAAGCCAGGATGATCCCTCCAGCCCCACAACCTTCTCCTTGGCATGAGGTGGTGACATCAACACCACCGCCTCCTTTGATAGCCCAAAGGATGCCTCTAGCTCTACCTCCCTCTGTACTCTTGGGGAGAAGATGGGTCTCAGCTAGAGAGAGAGAAAAAAACAAAACAAGCAAAGCTAAATTTTCTTAGTTGATTTAAAAACGAACACCAATTCTTTCATTCCATGAATGCTTTTCTCACTTTCTTAGTACAGTATGATGTGTGATAACTATCTAGATACCCATATTCTTACATTCACAGTACCTTCTTGAGCAAAAATATTCGTGTCAGGTGTTTAAATGCCCAGTTCCGTGTATGTGTATTACTTGAATTCAGTGTCATTTCCTGAAGTGATTAAGTGGGTTTATGGTAGATCCTTATTGATGTATTTCTATCCATGTCGCTCTTAGCTGGACCTGACCAGCACAGTATGTACTAGTTTTCTTTCCTGACAGCAGTGAAACTGTTTTATACAAACATCCTTCACTTTTGAATGAAAAAGAAATTTTAGAAACAGTCTGAAACTCCAACTGAGATCTCATTGAGGTTTCATTCTCAAGACAATGACAAACAAATTTGCTTTATCTTGTGCTTTGACCCAGATCTAAGTGTTCTGGATCTGAAAAATGTCACACAGAAAGCACGGAAGTCTGATATGCATATGCCATTTAAAGTGCACTCTGTATCCATCTTGCAATGAACCTATTTGTTCGGCTGCTGATGGACTTTCAAAAATATTCTTTCTAGGAGGCGTAAAGCCCTGCAGAAATAACTCATGCATCAGCCTGGTTACTCAGCCAAGCAGCGTGCTCGGCAGTAAAGCTACTTGTCCAAGAAGTCCCAAGTGACAGGAGCATGAGTGTTAATAGAAAGTGGGGACGTTATTCCCACTATTTAGTTGTGGGCGTCTTATCTGTTTATAAATTCTGTGATTCTGTGAAAATAAGCTCTTAATCAGTGGCGTTTCAGTGCACCTCTATGTGGAGCTTCAATATAAGGACAGAAAAACTATGAGGAACATGCAAATATCCTGAATATACAGAAGCATCAAGATTTGCTTTTTCAGTGTTCCTCTGTCTCTTTTATAAATAAAACAGGTGCCAGAGAAGACATTAATCCCAGCGAACAGGCGGTGGGCTGAGCACTCCAGCACCCAGCTCTCGCGCAGTGAGGCTGGATGTCACCTTAGGCTGTTTTGTGCCTTATCTAGGAAGTAACGATGTTAGGTGTGAACGCCAGCAGGAGCAGAAGACTTGTACAGCTTGTCTGTAGTGATAGGCAGCAAAGGATGACCACAAGAAACACTGCAGCATCCACCATGGACCTTGAAGGTACCGTTGGGAAGGAGGTGGTAAGCAGACTGATCCTGTGAGGTGGGAACCAGCAGCAATGACATTAGGGCTGACCTCTGTGGTCTCGGAATAGCAAAGCTGTTTCCCGAAGTCTGTCAAAAGTCGCTTGCAGAGAACAAACAGCATTTGGCTGTGGTGAAATAGCTGTGTGCTGGAGGCTGAGTGTTAATCTCTCTTCACGGAGTGAAGTTTGGCTGCACTGGCAGGACCACCCTTCCCTGGAAATAGGTTTTTCCAGTTTTTTCTAACTACATGGGAATTTCAGTGTATATTTTGTATTGTAACATCTACCATCTGAATATCGGTGAAATAGCACACATAAAGTGTGTGCAGACACAGAGGGAGGTACAGTTATATTGCA